GAAAATGGACATGAAAGGACAGCGATTTGACAACATTGAGGAGGTCAAGAAAAAAACGAGGGATGAGCTGTCGGCTATAGCCAAAGATGTAATGTAATGTATTAGTTGTAATGGAGAGTATTTAGAAGGGGATAAGGTCGTTCTGTGATTTTCAAAACAATATATAGTTTATAAAAAATGATTCCGGTTTTTTTTGGGTACCCCCTCGTACTTCATGATGTGTTTTAATATTTTTAATTTAAACAGAAACAGTCCGTCCGTGGTTTGGTTCACAATAATGTCATGCATCTCGGTTTCAGACGTTCAGTCGTTCGATTGACTACATTCGTGAAGAATAGATTCAATTCATTAGACATAATTGATTTGGAAGTCACCCTGGAAGATCGGTTAGTTTCTTAGAAAAATACAATTGCCGAAAAGTCGGTAAAAATGGATACGTCTCAGACGGATATATTTTCATACTAGTACTAAACTACGAACACTAGTTTTCTCCTGAACATTTAACGGGATCTGAGAGTCCAAACTGACAACTATCGTATTGTCGAACTATCCGCCCCTATGTTTTGCTAAGTTTTATTGGGTGAAAGCGAGATTTGAGATGACGACGTTTGATGTTTGACGTTGAATGGGTTTTCTCCAAATTTTTTCATGGTGACTTCAAAAGTTCCTGTAGTTTCTGCGCAGGCAAGTATCTGACACAAACCGATCGGCGAAAAATAAAAACCACCCTGTCCGGATTCTGCATCTGAAGCATCACAGGTATCACCGGGTAAATTTAGGTTTAATAGAGAGCCCTACATCAAACATTGTCTTCTTTTGCAAATTACAGCTAAATGAAACTTTCGAAATTATTTTTTTCTTGCTTCGTTACTAGGATATAACAGTATTTAGGAAATAAGCGTTATACAATTAATTTGGAGCTAACATCGAATGTCAATCGCACCAGTTTCTTTTTTCACGTCGAAATTATTAGCCCTTTATGTTACTGGTAGATAGACCTTACTTCTGTGACATTGTCCTATCATTGTCCTTTGTCTCTCCGTTGGACGCATAAGCTTCAATGACCTTTGTTCTCGGTTAATGCATTTAATGCCTATCCGAATGCAACAACACAACATTGTAACTTGTCGAGAGAACTTAGACAAAGAATGAACACGCGGAGATATTTAGCTCACTATTGAATGCATTGTAATTACGTTGTTGAATGCTCCTCGTAATCGTCTTTGTCTTGTCCCTTCGGTCCCATTAAATTGAACGGAATGATATCTAACGAGCCGTGCTGCTGGTTTTCATCATTTGTGGGCCCTTTTTCATTATTTTCTTAATGAATTGTTTTTTAATTTTACCGCACGCACTTTTTTCGTTTGGGATCAGCATAGAGCAAATAAAAGAGGGGGACAAACTTTAGCTCGTTATTGTGTTTTCTCGCGTCCATTTTGTTGGATGGGCATTTTTTATGTGTACAAGAAGGAATATTTCGGAGAACAACTCGACCTTTGTGTTTCCCGAAAAACATCATATCAATGCCGGAATTCAGCTCCGAAATTCGATCCCCGTCTGTGACGCGGGAAAATGTCGGGTGCTTCACAATCGATGACGGGTTGCACTTTTATGGTGAACGAGGATTAAGATTATTCTCAAAATTTGTTAATTTACATTGACGGTGACACATGTAGAGCTTTATGTGAAAACTGGGAAATACCTTGGCAAATACCTTGTTCGGATTCAAACAAGAGCTTTTTGGGACCTATGATTTTCTGTGAGTTTATTTTGAGACAATTCTTGAACCCACCCTCCAGTCTTGAGGCGGTATTTCTTTCAATTTATTGGCAGAATATTCAAAAGTCATTGAATAATGATAAAGGATTGTTTATTTTTATGATTATTATTTCTTAACATCTGGGTTATTATTGCGAGTGGTATGTGTATTGTAACGGTTGGTTTATGTTTAGATTTTAAGGGAATATCTGATTATTCAATAATAAGAATTTTGCTTTCTAGAACTACTTTGAGAATGTGCGGGCGAAAGTAATCTGCGTTTGACAAATCTAATTATTGAATAAGTTGCGCAGCTAATTCTAATCTAATATATATAGGAATGGCAAAATGATTAGCCATTACATCACCATTACAAAGAAAGTTCCACAGGTAATACTAACTCTTCTGGATTCCTCTTGTGTCGGTTGTTGATAAATGAAACTTGCTGATGTTTCGCCAATCATCCTTTTGGCGTCTTCAGAGCTTAACTGAACTGTTCAGTTCAATTAAGTCTAAGCTAAAACTGTTCAGTCGGTTTTTGTTGACTCGAACTAGCTAACGTTTCAGAGTAATATGCGAGCCAGTTCCAATCAAGCTCTGAAAAAGCCAACCGGATGATTGGCGAAACGTCAACAAGTTTGATTTATCAAAAACCGACGCAGGAGAAGTCCAAAATATTTGTGAATAGTATTACAGTAGGCTCTGCAAGTGTGAAAAATTCCATCTAATATTTTTAGCGCTTCTTAAAAAATTAATAATTTTGTCATTCCTATTCTATCTGCTGTGCGTCCCTGGCCAGGGCGTTGCATTCAGACCTTTCTATCCATTATGCCCACAAGTATTCATTCCCTTCCCTGGCAGAGCCCTGTACTCTTGAGGAAGTACATGGGGAGTTTTGATAGTTCCTCGGGCTCAATGAATTGAACTCCTAGTTCCCTTAATCGGTTGCCTTAGTTGTACGCACCTGGTTAAGAGAATCATTTTGCAAAATATAATTCTAATTAATATAATTGTAATTAAATATTAATAGCTGCTATGCTTGGATTCGTAGAAAGCTGAAGTCGGTCATAACGATGTGGCACTCATATTACACTTTCATTCATCATTTACTCTTAACATTTGTGCAGATCCAGTAGAGATGACTCGATTATTTGTTGTTCTCTTTTTTACCTATTATAATTAAGTCGTAGACCTTATGAAATTATAATAATAGTCGAGCAAGTTAACGAAAATTGGTCATATTTATTTAAATCGAACACACATTATGTTATTAATCTATCACGATTGTTTACAATATCTATTCATTTATTTACTTGTTTTTATTTACATGTTAAACCACTGAAATTCTGTTACTTATTGCGAGCAATTTTCGAGGATATTACTCACAGGAATTTTGTTTGGCAATTTTGAAATTCGTGTCAAAAACCATGTCAAGATGAAATTTTTTAGGCTAAGACTTACGGATCATTTTTGATTACGTCACTATACGTGACAGAACTAACGGCTTGAATTTGGACATTTATCGATTCTGACGGTCATGTCACACGAAAAACTAATGGTCGTAGAAAAAGTATAGTATGCAACATTATCCTTGATTAAAAAACTATTAAATAATAATTATTCAAATAGTATGTAATAAAATTGTTCACCAAGGATAAGAGGAGGTTAAGGGACAAAAACGAGGAATATGTCTGCTTTTACAAATTGTTTTCACTTGGCGAAAAATATTTTCTCGGTCGAGGGCTTTTAGCTTACTTTAACGGTATTTTGCCGGTTCGGGTATAGCGAGCATAATGGCCCGGCTAAGAATTTATTGTAAATTACTTCTAATTTTTGTGTTGTAGATTATACCTTCGCGTAACATTGCACGTAAAATGAGAACAACATTATAATAATGAACGGGCAGGGACGTATATCATTAATATCGCCAACAGAAAACGAAACGTTGAATTTTGCGTTTACAAACGAGTTTCGGGGTAAATTAGGAGTGCACTTTATGGCCAAATTATGATTTTATAATGTCACACTGCAGCAAAATCGTAAAATCGTAAAAATGAATTATTCGCGGCATTGCAGAAGAATACATTTCGCATAGGATATCGCTCTATGAATAATGGTACAATTTTTCAGCTTCTCGAATGCACGTCGTTAATTTATTTAGTAATATCGGTTTGAGTTTATTCTTATTAGTGTTGAAACATAGTGAAAACTATAAAATGTTTTGCCAGTTTTTTTTTGTTTCAATTGTATATTTCCCTATTATATTTACAAATCAAACTTATAGTCCTAAGATATTATGTACATGAATATATACAGAAAGTGCGTACCTCGGTCGTAATTTCGGACGGTGACATTGTCCTTCCTGGACCGGAGGCTGACTTTTTCGTGTGCTGTGCCCTCCGTCTTGCATGGCGCCTTAGGGTTGTAATATTTCCAATTGGTCAAATGAACTGCGATCTTTCTGCGTTTTTCGAAACCTATTCGAGGAAAAACCTTGTTGAAATAATTGAGTAGTGATTCCTGTGGGAGCGTCAGACGCCCATTTGTGTGGAGGTGAGGGGAAGGGAGTGTTCAGGGTTATGGTCCATCGTCAAAAAAGAGAGGGAGATTTTGATAGATTAGTGGATGTTTAAAAGGTCCATCAATATGTCGGTTTTGTGTTATGTGTGTTGTCAGTGGTGAATTGTGTATTTGTGTGGAATAGAATTTGGTTGCGGTTTGTACGATGAAGTCACGTATGTACAGTACGTTTGCTACTTCATGCAGCGTGCGTATATATGCGCGTCGTCCTTGGTTCGTGGCATGCCTGAGAATTTTATTTTGTATTCGGTGTAAGCGGGTGTATTGTGTGTTGGAAATTTTACAAATTACGGGGGAACCGAAAGTAAGTATTGGACGCAGGATAGTTTTGAAAATAGAAATTTTGTTTGTGATGTTTAGACGGGAGTTGCGACAAATTAAGGGGTATAATTTTTGAATTGCTGCCGATGTTTTTTGGATTCTGGAGGTGACGTGTTCTATAAAAGAGAGCCAGGGATCGAGGACGATGCCAAGGTAGGTAGCTTTCTTTTTTGGATTGATTGTGCTTTCGTTTATGACTAACTTTTGGATGATTTTGTTTTCAGTTATTCTTCTTGTCATCATAATTTGTTCTGTCTTTTGGCCGTTGATTTTAATTTTCCATTTCTGGGAAAAAAGGAGGAGGAGGCGAAGATGGAAAAGAATTTGCCTGTTGGCGACCTCTACCAAGTGGGAGTGTGCGTATAGTAGGGTATCGTCAGCGTATTGTAGTAGGGTAGTTTTGGGATATGTGGGAACGTCTGACGTATATAACGTGTAGAGTTTGGGGGCCAGTACCGTGGCCTGCGGGACACCGGCTTGTATTTGACCGGTTTGGGAATACCTGGTGCCAATCGAACTTTGAATGTTCGATTAGCGAGGTAGGATTTAATAAGGTTTGTTATGTTTGGAGGCAGGTGTAGGATTTGATCAAGCTTGTACAGGAGTCCTTCGTGCCAGACGGTGTCAAACGCTTTCTCCATGTTGAGGAGTGTCGCGACGGTGGTCATGTGTTGATTATACTTCAACACGGTTTCGTGCGCAGGCTTGGCCACGGGGTGAAGGATAGAGCGGCCTTTTTTGAAGCCGAATTAAAATTCGGGGTTGGTCAGAATCTAAACAGTTGATTCTAGTGAGGATGATGCGTTCTGCAACTTTGGCCATGGTATTTAGCAAGTAAATTGGCCGGTAGCTGTTTGGGAGGGTGGGATTTTTGCCAGGTTTGCAAATTGGGATGACAATGGAGGTTTTCCATTGTGCCGGAAAATGTTGCAGAATCAGTACCGCGTTCAGTAAGTAAATTAGTTGCACCAGACATTTCCGGGGAAGATTTTTGATTAAAATGTTGTAATGTAAAAAGCTTTATTATTTGGAAGGGTCTTTAAGACGGAGGTTAGTTCGTTAATTGTGACGAAAAGATGTCGACGAATGTTGGGTGAGAGCGGTGCGGGGGGTCTCTGTCGATATCGTGGTGTTCAGGAATACTGTTAGGGGGTGGTTTGTGAACATCGGCGAAGTGGTTACATAAGCGGTCGGCTTTCTGTCGGTCTGTCATGTTATGGCCCTCGAGTGTCGGTATTGGTGGAAAAGTGCGTCTAAAGCACTTTGTTAAACGCCAAAGGGAGTTATCAGTGGTATTTATGGAGCTAAGTCGATTTTGCCACGCGCGATTCTTATAGTGGTGTATGGCTGTGCGAATGTAGTCTTGTAGTTGTATGTAGAGTTGCCTTTGCCTGTTAGTTTGTTACAAAATTTACAAGTTTACAAATTTCAAACTAACCATAGAAGTGGTTTTGGTTAATTTGAAGTTGTAAACTTATTTGGCTGCAGAAACTTTATTTATATGTAGAAAAAAACTATCCTTTTTTATAAGGTTATCAATTTATTGATGTCCAGTATCCAGATCCAATTTCTTAAATGTGCCAAAAATATACAGTTAATATTTAGAATTATAAATCTATATATAATAAGAAATGCCGTATAAACGTACGTAGCACCATTTTCATTTCAATTTCAAATTCAAAAAAATTTTTTCGTAGCACTCGAGAATGCTGATATAGACTATTTTTTAGATAAAATGGTTTTTTACTAACTACGTAGACCATGACGTGAAACCCTGGCCCATCTTCTAATAGCTAAAATCTTTTACAATTAATATTTGAAAATATTGCTGGGCTAGTTGCTACAGAAATACCCATATTTTTGTGCAGACTACTCTATTTATTACACTCGATAATAAATATACAGAGTGACTCATAATTATTTATTGACACTATCTGCATATACTACGCAGTACGTCTTACAGAAAACATTTTTCAAAATATTTCCCAAATTTAAATATTTTATCACCTCAATAAGTGCAAACTTGGAACGTATTTGTTAGCACATCACAAAATATTTCGCGACAACCATAAAAACTAAAATTTCAGCTCACGAATGAGCCAAAACAAACTGCCAATTTAAATACAGTACCTATTTTAGTTAGAGCTGAAGTTGGCAAATGTAAAAGACAACTTCCATTTCTCATACCTTAAGTAAATGGTGTAGGTAGCCAGGAATCTCTCGCATCTTGTCGTTGTCGTCGTATTGTCTATTAATTCAGAACTTCTCATAAAGAAGTTTTTTGGAACGGGAAAACAAGTTTCAATTTCCGATTGTGACAAATGCATAAAAATGATAAAAATGTTCCTATATAATTAAAGTTAATAGGAAATGTCAATCATATTTCTGAATTGTACCTTACGGAACCAAAACATACTGTAGTTTTTCTATTTTCAAATCGATTTCTGCATACACAGCACTATTCAAATTTCCATTACCGTGTTGTTTTTAAAACAAAAACGTTATTCGGATTCTTGACTCCGCGAAAAACCTAAACTGAACTAAAAATATAATCCGTGCAACATAAAGCTTAATGTCACTTAGAGCAAAAAACTATATACACTACTATTCACTATTCAGAAACTAATAATAATTTAACGTGATCCGCTTTTATAGGTCGCAGCGCCTTCTAGCGCCAAGTACAGAATGTTTAAATTGGGTTCTCTGTCGAAATCATGGTTAACATAGCCAAGATTTTTGATTCAGTTCTCTTGCGGATTATCTCATTTCTTACTTCTTTCATTTATGCAAGTCTGTAACAACGACTCCAAAAACCCGTTTCTGCACCAAACAGTCTCTCTTCTGGTTACTTCAGAGAACTCCATTTAACTATCTTGTTATAGTTTTAAAATGTTGAATTCGCATTCACTAGATCCATCTTTACTTATATTTTAATTGAATTGGTCGATATAATCGTACCACGGTCTAGTTTCGATATTGAGAACTACAGTTTACTTAGCTCTGTTTAAGTAAATGATGATCATTTAAGTCTCCCGGTTTCTTCAGGTTCCAAGAAATCAGAAAATCAATTCTGCTCTTCTTCATTAGCAAGTTTGTTACATTTAACCTTCTATAATTTGACCAGCTGAATACATATGTCATTCTCAATTAAGGTGGTATCCAAAATATACCCTCATCGTTTGTTCCAAAAAGAAACTCTGGATGGTGCTCCCGACAAGGATTTCTTTCCAATCTGTTAACCGAATCATGTTTATGTAGCAGTTTTCTTTCCGATCCGATCTTTTTTTTTTCATGATCCGCTTGCTTGCATACCCAATGCATTATTTTGTGCTTTATTACAATTTTAAAATCAAATATCTCAGTACTTATAATAGTTATCTGTTCTTTATTATTACCATTGTTACATATTATTATTATTATTATTATTATTTTCTCATCGGAAGATGCAGTCCTCTCATGTCGGCTAGGTGAGTAGCAAAACATGAAATGTGCGCTATTGAAGTTGAGGTTGATTAAGAACTCTTCTAATTATGTTGCAGGTAGCTAGTACCACAGACTTCTGCATTTCAAAGTAGGCGCCTGGTTTTACGGTGAGTGTTGTCAGGTTGGTTCTGAGGGACTTTGGTATTTCTCCGATTGCACCGATCACTATAGGAACAATGTTAACCCTATCGACACGCCATGTCTGTTTTATGTCATCCGCTAACGGTATGTATTTTTCTCTTTTTTCACGTTCTTTCTTCTGCAAGTTGTTAGGTGCGGGAATTGCAACGTCGACGAGGGTCACCAACTTATTTGCCTTGTCATAAATAAGGATATCTGGCCTGTTATGCTGGACAGTGCGATCGGTCTGAACAGTTCTGTCCCAATATATCCTAAATCCCTCATTTTCAAGCACGGATTCTGGTGAGTATCGGTAGTACGGACACTTCTCTTTTAGATGTTTAAGGTTGAACGCTATTTCCTGATGGACTATCTTGGCTACGTTGTAGTGTCTTGTGGTGTACTCCGTCGGGGCCAGTATCCGGCAACCACTGATGAGGTGCTCAACATTCTCATGGCCCTCTCCACATATGCGACAATTCGTTGTTGTTACTGTCGGGTCCTTGATTATGTGTTTAAGATAAGATCGAGTGGGTATGACCTGATCCTGAATTGCACACATGAAACCCTCAGTCTCGGGGAAAAGGTTGCCGTTCGTTAGCCAGCCAACTGATGCAGACTTGTCAAGGTCAGCACTGTCAAGCAAGTTTGGGTATCTGCCGTGTAGTTCCTTTCCCCGCCACTGGGTCTCGAGCTCGAAAATTGAATACTTAGGGTCGCACTGATAGTGTGTGACCTGCAACATGAGGGATGTAAGTGATCTATCTAGACCTGTCACTGCTCGGTGGAGCGCTGAGCTCTCGCTTTTTTGATGGAAGTGTTTCTGCAGCCGCTCCACCTGGGTCTTGTGGCATATTCGCAAATCCGAGAATCCCCTGCCACCGATGTTTCGAGGTAGATGTACCCTCTTTCTGCCAGCTCGTGGTGAGCGCGGAATTTAGTTAGATTTGTCTTTAAGGTTCTATTCAGATCATCAAGCTCTGTCGGCGTCCAATGGACGATGCCGAAGCTGTACGCCACTGCAGGGACGGCGTAGGAATTGATTGCAGTCGCCATGTTACGGCCTGCCAATCTTGTTTTTAAGATGTGCTTAACTCTCTCTTTAAATCTCTCGGTGAGCAGCGTCTTGACACTTTTAGAGTCTATTCCTCGCGCCTGGGCAAGACCTAGGTATTTATAGGTTTCAAATTTATCTAGCGTCGTTATTTTTCCACCACCACTATGTTGTGTAAGCTGATGGCCGTCCATCTGACGCCACTCTCCTCCAACTTTACACTTCTCCAGACCGAACCTCATTCGAATATCATTTGAAAAGTTCTCGACGCATCTGAGCTGCCGTTTTAGTCCCTTCTCGGTGTCCGAGAATATCTTGAGGTCGTCCATGTACATTAAGTGGGAGAGCTTAAGTTCTTTATTAAGTGGATATCCTTGTTTGAGATTATTGAGAGCGGAGGAGAGTGGGTTTAACGCTATGCAGAACCAGAGGGCACTCAGAGCATCGCCCTGGAAAATACCCCGTTGGATTTTTATGCTGATCGGCTTTTCTTGCGCCCCCTGGTTTCTCGGAATTATTTGTGTCTCCCACTGGTCCATAGCATGTGTGAGAAAGTTGATGATTTTGGGGTCGACTTTATAGACAGAGAGGCACTGTAGCAGCCAAGTGTGCGGAACACTATCAAATGCCTTCTGATAATCAATATATGCAGTAAAGAGATTCTTCTTGGAAGCTATTGCATTGCGGGTGACAACGTTGTCAATTGCAAGTTGTTCCTTACACCCCTGTGCATGCCGCCTGCACCCCTTCTGCTCTTCAGCCAAAAGATTGTTATCATCCATGTGTCGGTATAGTTTGTTAGCTATTATTCCATTGAGAATTTTGTATATCGTGGGCAGGCACGTTATGGGTCTGTATTTTGAGGGATCTTTAATTGGGTAATCTGTCTTTGGGAGAAGGTAGGTCATCCCTTTCGTCAGAAAGGGTGGCGCAGACTGAGGGTTGTTCAGTATCAGGCTCAAGATGTCAGCAAGTTTAGACCTTACAGCGGTGAATTTCTTGTACCAGAAGTTCTGTATCCCATCCGGTCCGGGGGCTTTCCAGTTTTTAGCTTTCGCCAGGACTTCATTTAGGTCCCCTACGACGAACACTTGAGGCAGCATGAGTTTTATTCTTTCGGTCTTCTTTTGTTCGCACTTTATCCACTCAGCCGAAAGTTTGTGATTGAGAGGGACCTGCCAGATGCCACTCCAAAATTCCCTGATACTTTCTGGTTCCGGGTATTGGCCCTTGTCGTCGGTAGTTGATGGAGCCAAGTTTCTGTAAAAAGCACCAGGGCTTCGGTTAAAGAGGTTATTATCCCCTCTTCTATGCCATGATTGCTGGTATCTGCGCAGTCTATTTGCGTATACCAGCAGTTTCTGCTTTAGCGGATCCAACATGTCGACCACAGTATGGTTTCCAGAGTCTCCGTATTTTTTTTGCACGTTATCGGCATGCTTTTTGACCCGTTTACTTGGTTTTCTGGGTTCAAGGGTTTCAGTGGGTATACCGATCTCTCTCCTCAAAGTCGCAATTTTGTCTTCTAGTCTTCTCTGCCATGGGGGGAGTTTAAGTGTTTTCTTTGGTGAGTTAGTGCTAGATTGAGAGAATTTCTGTCTATGGAGCAGGATGGTTGCCAGAGCGGCGGAGTACACCAGATCATGAACAACAGTGAGGTCATGACAGTTATTAATTTTTAAAGACAGTACGTTGTTCATTGATTTAAGTATGTTCTTGGTGTCCCGATTTGTTCTTAGTCTGGGTATCCTAGGTCTACTAAGCGGGTCCAGGCCAGCCTACCTTTCAATACGGCATTCCCTGGGGTATCAACCCGTTGTTCGGTTGTAGCATCCGCTGCGACATCGTCTGTCCACCCCAGCTCTAGAGCCACCTCTATTCTCATAGTCTGAATCACTTCAGGTTTAAGCCGGTGTTTTATAAATAGTTGCCTTCTTTGGTCTAGGATGTTCTGGATGGTTTTTCCCTGTAGAGCGGGAAATCTTTGAAGCATTGCTTCATGTAGTCTGTGGCCGTATGGGTTCTTATTGGTCTCCATTTCGGTTATGCGTAGGTAGGTACGATAAAGGTAAGTATTCATGTCGTCTGACCATTTAAATCGTACCGTCCTAATATTGTCCCCGATCATGGGAAGACGCTGAGTGTCCTCAACATTTAGCGGGGTCGGAACTTGTTCTTCAAGGGAGTTGTTTCGGTCATTCCTGTTGCTTGTGTTGGTGGATTCCGTTCGCAGGTCAGTGCCACCCGTTCCACTGGGGCCTGCGCCAAACTGGAGGTCTTCAGGACGCTTCCGAACAGAGGTAGTCTGGTCCTCTGCCACGCCCGAGTACCAGTTACACCTTGTTCTGACAGCGATCGCGGTTCACGCGAGTTGAGCTGCTACCACAACTCGCGGTGTGCTGATTTTTGTCCACCTCGGGTATTTTATTTCCCCGATACTCTTCAGTCCAAAAACTGACGAGCGTACCCCATCGCCAGGGGCGGCCCCCGATAGTAGTTCAGCTTCAGCCACGGGTTATTATTATTACTATTATTATTATTATTATTATTATTATTACTATTATTATTATTATTATTATTACTATTATTAATTATATATAATTGTAATTATATATAATATATTGACGCTGATCACTTCATGCCAAAAGCTATTTACTGTTGTGTTAACAATTTCATCCACCTATAACAATATAAATAATTTTGATTAATTCCTCAAACGACTTGGAATTTCCGTACCCTTGAATCGTTGTCGAAGCTTTTTATTTCTTTCCAATTTACTCCCGTCACGAAAAGAGCCAGCGCAATACACCCTCTTCGCCTGCTTCCGAAAACACAAAAGCGGTCAAATGAGAAAAGCTCTGCTAGGAAATAGTTACGGGCCACATAACTAAATTCGATCATCGTCGGATTATCAATCTAAGCTTGGTCCATTGTAAACGTTACACAATGGCGAATATTGGAAGTACATGTTCAACATAATACTCACACTCAAGAGGCGATAATGGTCGCTACACTGGCACAATCCACCCCGCCACGGGTTTTTAGATTGACGTCACAACAGGGACTGTTCGCGATTGGTTAATTAAAATAAAATATTCCGGTACTACGATTGGTCCTATTCATTTGTTCTTGTACTATTTCGAATATTCTGTATCGAATCATTTTTTTTTACGATCGTGCTAAAAGTAAATCTTTTGGAACGGTAACCACAGCAAAAAGTATTCGCTTTGCACTAGCGCAAAAAATAGTTTCATTGATTAAGAAATTAATCTAAAAGACATTTCTTCTTTGTAATAACGAGTACATTTTTATACATACGACTATTTTATATTATTTATTATTATTATTATTTATATTAATTATATTTAAAAATGAATATTTTTTCTTCAATTCTGATTAGTTTAAATCTTATGACAAATGAAAGCATATTTAAAATTACATTTTCCCACTTACGTATCAGTGAGAAATTGCGTAATTATTTTGCCTTCTCAATGGAAAGTTTTGTTATTCTGTTATAAAAAATTAATTTCATTGTAGATAAAATTTCTCAGCATAAATGATTTTCTTAACTCCGTGTAAGTTTCATGCTTTGTTCGACAAAAGTACACGAAAAGTAGGGTAGTTATCCAAATAATTATTTTTTGTTTGACGACCGTGCCGAAAATGTTGCAATTACTTTTCGGCCTCATTGAACCTCTTAAATGCAAATTCGGCTCTTCTACTTTATGTTCCGGCTAGCAAATATATGCACTACTTAAACATATATTATTTTGATATTTTATTATAATGATTAAAATTGTTTTTTTTAAGAAACTTCCGTATTTTTCGAAAAACATGCTGCTGTACTTTTTTTTAGAGCGCTGTTTACAACTGAGGGCCTTTCTCTTCAAACAGGTGGGGAAGGAGGTGGGTTTATTTGTTTCATAGACGAATTCAAAAAGGACGATATATTAATATTTGTCTCGCGGTTTATGTTATTCAGATATTTGATGATTTCAATAAACTCTCTAATTTTACTTGGATAGAGAAAAGTGCTAGATTCAAGTCTTGTTATGATGTTTGTCGAATTCTGACTAAATTTTAGTGTTCTTTTAGTGTGATTGATATTTCTCTTTCTTTCTCCGATGTTTTCTTACCAACAGCTGCACGATATGCTGAAAACACTTGCTTGCTTCAGATGAATTTTATCTTTCACAGACCGTAGATGTTGGGAGATTTTAAGACAAGTAGAAGATATAGTTTTTACGATGAATTAGCACAACTCGCCTTAGTTCTTCTCTCGAATAATAACTATTATCAAGAGATCGTATGTTCGACCAAAAAATACACTTCACCAGAACCACTTACACAAAGTAACTCCGTAATTGACCCTCCGTTAGTAGTTCCGTATGTTCAAAATGTTGCCGATCACATGTCAAAAATTCCGTAAAAACATAACATCAAAATTAGATTATCTACTTGTCCTAAAGTCTACAACATCTACGATCAGTTAAAGATAAAATTCATCTGGAGACAGCAGGTGTTTACAGTGGCAAAGAATACATCGAAGAAACAAGATCGAGAAATATCAAGGAGACTAAGAGAACAAATAGCGATATCAGCACTTTCTGGAAATCATCACCAGGTTTTATTCGATAAGACCAAACCAAACATCTATACAAGAAAAAAATCTAGAGTCGATCTAAATCATCATCATCGCCACACAGGTTTCTATTATAAAACACCTCTATCGACTTCCCTTCCCACCGGTCGATATTTAAGGCGCGTGCAGGGTAATCGGACCTCAATTTCAGACAGCGCCCTAAGAGATTTTTTAAATACAACGCGGCTAAAATTTTTAACAAAATATAAGATCTTGTTAGATTAATTCGACAGTGCAGCTTATCTCTTCCTTTTATATTTTCAAGGTTGATCATACCATTCTTCTTCTTGCCATGCTATCTTCCCATTAAAGATTAGCAACCTACCATGCTACATGCGTATTTGGCTTAGATCACTCCCGTACGCCAACAAGACTTGGTTTAAGTTAGTAAGTGGATAATTTAAGTAGATAGTTGAGAAAAGTTTAACATAAGGTTTTTTAAGACTTGTGCATTCCAATTATCCATTAAACTCGATATACTTACATGAACCAATTCCAAAATATCCAACAAGTTTTATAAATCGTTGCATACTAAATTATGGAAATTTTCATATTCACGAAAGAGAACACCGCAGCGCTTACAAATTTTCGCTAACCACAAGACATCTTTAGAAATAATTCGGGATTTTCTTCTAATTTTAATTTCACTCATTTCCCCTTACAACGCTTCAGCATAAACTAACAACAACCGGCGTAAGCAGAATATGAGATAATGAAATTATAAAAGCTGCAAAGCGGATATTTTCGGTAATATAAAAGCTATCCTTTATCCTTATCACCTTGGGCCAAATTTTCTACCTCTCGGATTAGCCTTGACTTTAAGCGTATATACTTGATTCGTTTTGAAACGATACGATGCTTGTTTGGCTTGTCAGCGAGACGAGAAAATGGAAAACTAATTGAAAGATATATGGAAAGCTCGGTGTTTGCTTACCGATTCTGGTTCGATTAATATATTGGGGAAAATGATTTTGTTATGTTTCTTTGTTATTAATTAATGGAATCGAATTACGTAAGCGGAAAACATATTTATTTATAGTTTTAAGTCTATTACTGGGAGCCAAATCATGTGATTATAAAATGTCAACTACAATAAACAATTTAGACTTTTCAATTTGGCTACTCTGGCTTAGAACATCCGCGAAATCATGACAGAAAATACGACAGAAACTAATATTGAATATATCTGTCGCCTCTTTTACTCAAAATATAAGTAAGTTCTTTATCTATTTTTCTTATACATTTAATGAAATTTGGTTTTCGCAAATGAATTGGCATATTTTATCAAATTAATCATTTGCCGTGATATATTTTTCTCCCTTCCAATTATGCACTGAACAAATGTGAGTAAAGTGTCAGAAGACACGTTTGAAAGCTATGGAATATATTCCGTAGTTTGGAGCCACTGAGTTCTTATAGCCATGTCACACGCCACTCAGTAAATGTAACCACAAACTAATGGTCGTATGCAACATGTTGATAAACTTCTCCCGGTCACTCGTTTATCAAACCATCAACTCATTAGAACTATTTAATTAATTAATTGCAAATAAAATAATTAAATTTTGTAGTTTTTTTAAAATAAACTATTAAAATATACATGATACCAATAATATCATATTTATTAGCACAATTCAAATTTAATATTAAAAACAATTAAATTAAAACACAACCCAGCTAAAAATCTAATTTGAAGTATTCCTCAAACGTGAAAAAGGCATTCAATATGGGGAAGTATTTTATTTTAGTCTTGTTTTGACTGAAGTTAAGAACTTCAAGTCAATCCCTCAAGTCGGCTGAAGTCTGGAACTTCGTTATTGTTATTCCTTGTTAGGTCGTTGAAAAAACTTCAGTCTTGTAAAGGTCTATATTTTTTTTGTTTGTTTAATTTCGTAAAAGACAATATAACAGGAATGAGCAAATGAGGGAATCGTGTAACTTAAGTGAGAGTGAAAATTCCTATGGTAAGCTGTTAGAAGGGTTTCTCTGGATGTCACTTGCCAGAGATTTCTAAATAGAAATAGTTATAAGGATAACTTTTTTGAGAGTTGAGAAACAAAAGATTGTTCGTTACTGTCCTCGAAGCTGAATACCTGAAGAGTAATATGTCGGGTTTATCTGGAAATAGAATTGTGTTAATTTTGTTCCCCTGACCGTAATGGAAATAATTTATATAGATAAGGAATAAAATAAGGCCTCATACTGAACTGAACTGAACGTTGGGTTACACCATATTTAAGCTGTTGCTTTGTTGGATTGCATTGATTGATTGATCACGATCAGAGAGATACGAGTCAAGCAATCAGCTTAAAATTTATAGATTTCTACATTTTTTTAAATGTCTCGTGTGTGGCCCCAGAACCTTTGATGAAGTGGTCGCTCTAGTTGAACTTTTATCGTTATGGAATCCTAATTGGCTTATAGCAAATAATTTCTTAGACTGAAAGTGTTCATTAATTTGATTTTTAAGAATGTGTTTATACATCATCTTTGACAAAATAGGAACCAATGATAGATCTTAAAGAGAGGTAAAACCCTTGCGGTTGCAAAAATCTTAAGAAATTATGTAGTGGCAATTGATTGATTTCCTAAATTAGTTTTTATAGTTTTGGTATTGATTCCATCTGAATTTTTCTACGACTGGGTTTTAACTCTCGTATAGCCTTATCAACATCATTAAGGGCCTCAGGTTTGAATATTGAAGTATTCGTCAAAGGATTGATGGGAACTTTCAATTACTCTCAATTTTATTAATTATATATTTAGCCGTAGAATGAAAATGGTATCATCAATATTTAAATTTTCACTGGAATTATATTTATTGTTAATT